TTGAGCGTGGTTACACCGTCAAAGCCACCGTTCGGAACCTCAGTCAGCTCTCTATCTCTCTCTTTCTTGCCATTTAATTGCTTCTCCTTTACCATTGTTCTACTCTGTAGCACACATTGTTTGGAATCTTCTTATTGGACTGTTACACATGATCATATGCTATAACCATTGTAATTAGTGCCGTTAATAATTGGCTTTATCATGTCTTAATGAGATTATTCATGTTTTGAACCAACTCGATCATTTATTATTTGATTTTATTTTTGAATTTGTATTAAGATTTATTCAACTCTAACCCATTAATTTCGTGCAATGTCAATATGTCAATTTAAAAAATTTCACTATCGCGTAGAACTTCTCTTGGACAATATTAATGTTCCGTTTAGTACGATAGAAAAATGAAAAGTTGAAATGATCGATAAAACATCATGTTTGGTAAGGAAGAAAAAAAAATAGGAAAATGAAAAAATGGATAGATGAGTTTTCCTTCTAACTCATCAAAATTAATTCCTCCAAAATTGGAAAGAAAGTGGATGAAAAGTTATTTATTTGTGTTGAAATATATTTATTTTGTTTATATATCTTTTGATATCTATACATATATGATGTATACATTAATTTTATATACAAATATAATGATAAAATATATATCTATACTTTTTTCAAAAATATTTAAAATAAAATTTTAAAAAATAAATAAATATATATATATATATATATTTTCCATTTTATCAAGTAAAAAAATAATAATTAATTATATTTATTTTCCATCAATTCTACTAAACACAAAGAAAGAAAAGTGTATCATTCTTATTTTCCTTCTTTGGAGAATAGAAAGTGTATCTCGCTTACTTTTTATCCTTCTTACCAAACAGAGCATAAGGCCTGAACACTAATAGTTAATGCAGGGACAATAGTTCTATTTTTCTCCATTATCTTTTGACAAAATTTATTGACCAAATCTATTATTCTCGTTGGATTAATGATTAATTTTAATTCAGGGTTACAAGCTTGTATTAAATTTTTTCAATGGATAAAAATAAGATGATGGGTTTGTATTTATTTATGTAGAATCATACGTAAGTAAACACCCGTTGTACACCAATTACAAATAGTTTAATGTTAATGTTAAGAATATAAACATAAAAAAACGTAAATTCATACAACAATGACAATTGCAGAAATCTCTAATACAATATGAAGTACTTTTTTTTTGGGAGTGGGAGTGGGAGTGGGAGGGGGAGGAGGCTTGAACCCTTAATCTCAAGAAGGCAAAACTTTCATAAGGTAAGGAGTACCATTGGATCAAAGACCCATTGGTACAATGTGAAGTACTAAACATTAAATTGCATATCATATTAACATTAAACTTTTTATATATGGAGTTGTTTTAAGTCTAAATTTTTGTCATATTTTTAGGATTCTCATTTTTTTTTTTTGTGTACTCATGGAATGATTTTTGAATTTTATTATACAATAACCCCAGTTTTAAACAATACAAAATGATCTTATATTTTTTTGAAAAAAATATGTAAAATGATTTTCAATGTGTTCAAAACTTATCGGTACGTGTCCAAAGTTCATTCGTAATGTGTTCATAGCCATTTATGGGCATAGGAAGATATATCTGAAAAAGATATGACATTTGTATGTACATAATTTGCAGTTTGATTTAAATTTGCACTTCGATTTAACATGTTTGTTTGTTCGAATTGTTAATATTTCTGTTTAATATGTACTACAGATAATCCGAAGAAGACAGCACACCTGCTTGAACTTGATGGAGCTAAGGAAAGGCTACATTTGTTTGAAGCAAACTTAACTGAAGAAGGATCATTTGATGCTGTGGTTGATGGTTGTGAAGGTGTTTTTCACACTGCCTCTCCTGTTTTCCTTTCAGCCACTGACCCTCAGGTAAATCCTCAAACTTCTACTGTCCTATGGTGATTTTGGTGTGGTAGCCACATCTGTATAGCACTTAAGGCAAGTCAATTCTTTGGTACCATGATTTTTATTCAAATATGCGATTTCTAACTTATTCAAATTTATATGAAAGCGTAGTTTAAAAGTGCGTATCACAAAGCACACTATTCAAATTTCCAATTGAAAGTGTGTTGTGCAAATATGCTTTTAGATCGAAAAGCATAGGTTAAAACCACAATTTGATATTGACAATGTTAGATTAGGAAATAAGTTAGAAATCACAATGTTTGTTGAGAAAAAGGAATTTGAATAAATATGCATCTCGACACTGCGACCATTGTGACGTCATCTGTTTGATAGTAATCCAGTGCCTACATTTAGAGTCTTGTCATTTCTTGTATTCTTGGTGGTCTTGTTACCACTTGAAATTGTTCAGATCGTCTCATGTGGCGACACATGTGATGAAATAACAGAGTGGACAGTGGATAAGATTAAGTGGTAAACTTTAGCAATAAGCCTATAAATTAGAAAGGGTATCAAGACTTTGCGTTGGAATAAGTTAATTTGGAAGCTAAAGAAAATAGAAACATGAAGACTAAACTAAATCTTATTTCTCGATTTTATAACTTTATATGCAAAATCTTGATGAGAAAATATTTATTTGAAAGTAGTGGAAACTCTAGTCTTAATCTGGCTAGAAATTAGCTCCCCTTGTATAAGAGGTGAAAACTAAATCTAATAAAACTGAAGTTCAGATTGTTTATTCTTTAGAAGTAGAGGGCACTGTATCCTTCTCTTTGGTGGTCTTCCTCCTCTGCCCATCCCCTTATTCTGGTGGGAGAACGGGAAGATTTGAGGTGGTTGAGCTATACTGCTTTGTAGGTTTGATTTATCATATTAGATTAAGCACTTGTAGCAGTTCTTAGCTTAAAAAGAATGATAGAAATATAAGAGGTCCACACTTATATCTATTTTATAGCTCCTTGAATTTCACTAGATTGGTTGCAACCAAAAATCTAACCAAATCAAGAATTCATGCCAAGATAATGTTAGTTTGCTAGCTTGTTTTCAAGAAAAATGTGGAATAGAAGTAATCATCATCAATACAGCTTGGTATGCAGGGAGGTTTTTTTTCGATGCAATGCCTTCATGCTATTTTGTGCTTATGTTTGCATAAGGCTGGATTTTATTCGCTTATTTTGAAAAACTGTATATAGAAAGGGCTGCTTATGATTTGATTTCCATGTTTCAGGTAGAATTAATTGAGCCTGCTGTGAAGGGAACAATTAATGTTCTGACATCCTGTGCAAAAGTTTCATCTATCAAAAGGGTGGTAGTAACATCCTCCATGGCTTCCGTTAAATACAATGGAAAACCTCTAAACCCCGATGCTGTAGTTGATGAGACGTGGTTCTCAGATCCAGTTTTTTGTCAGGAATCAAAGGTTTGTAAATGTGCTAATGTCTTCAATATTTAAGTAATTAACAACATCCATTGAGTTCACCATGACTCTTGTATTTCTTTGTTTATTGCCATGGCTATAGAAATATGTTAGCAGAAGACCTGTCATCCTATGTACTGTGGTATGGAGTATGCATGGTTTTCTGTTTTTCGTATTTGTTTGTAAATCAATGGGTATACTTGGTATACATGTAATTTCTCTCGGTTCATGCAGCCATTACTTACTGAAAAAAAAAAACAATTGACTGCATCATCTAGTGTTATACAAAGTCCATTAAGATGGTTCTTTTTAGTTTAAGACTTAAAAGAGATGTTGAAAATATAGATGGGAAAAGGCCACAAAGGCCGTTTTCTTTTAGAAGTTAGAATTCAGACAGCAAAAACATTGAAGCTTATTTTGTAGTTACGTGTATTGTCATTTAAAAATATAGCTGGAGAGAAGTTAACTTGCTTTAATACCCTTCATTTTTTGCTAATTAAACTTTGGTTCATGTATCAGCTGTGGTATATGCTATCGAAAACCTTGGCCGAGGAAGCTGCATGGAAATTTGCAAAAAAGAATGGGATTGACTTGGTGACCATACATCCAGGTTATGTGACTGGTCCTCTCTTGCAGCCAACTCTCAATATCTCTGCTGAGGGGATTCTGAACTTCATAAATTATGGTATGCTTTTCTGTAGCAAATGAGGATGCTGCACATGAAAGTATCTTTCTACTTGAAACGTTTTCATTCTTCATCTCAATTCTTTTCATATGTTTTACTTAACTAATCAGGTTACAAATAGAATCTAATCTAGTTTGGAGATAATCCTTCTGAAAACTCTTTATCTCATCCATTCTGTCATTTGAAGTTTAAAAGGCAGCCATCTCAGTGCTGCTATCTCAATTTGCTCTTGTTTGTTAGAAGTCTAAATTCATTATTCATTACAAGGTTCAATTATTTTGTGAGACACAGAAGAGGTTGTCTTCTCTGAAGTTTGTTCATTGTTTCCCCTTCTCTTTTTCTTTTTTAGTTCTTGGCATCCTGAGAAATTAACTTGGAAGGCTGCTATTAATATTGTTCATAATCCAGTTCAACATGAAAGAACTAAATATGTTGCAATTAACCGGCACTTCATTAAAGAAAAGTTAAACAAGGGCTTGATTTGCATGCCTTTGTGAAATTATGAACAATCTTGACATGGTATAGTTGTGTAATCTAATACATTACCCTATTTTGACGATCTTTTCTTTTTCTTCTTTTTTCTTCTTTTTCTCTCTCTCTCTCTCTCTAAACCCCATCGGTTTCACAGCTTAACTATAAATTATGTTTAGTAGCTTCAAGCAACATATACACTCACATATTGTAGAACTCATGCAAAACTGAAGCAGAAATTCTGGAGTTCAATTCTTTCCTTTGGTTTCCACTTTTTTTTTTTTTTTTTTTACCGTGATATATTTAGTGGCCAAATATTATTGTTCTAGTTGCTTAATAATCTTTAAGTAAAAGCAAAAACACTTTTTTTTTTATTAATTCCAAGGACAGTGTTGCATTGTTGCATATGTAAATCTCTTTTTCTTTCTTAATTAGGTACATCTGCACATATAATTCTTTTCATATGAGCAATTAAGTTTAATGTATGATGCAGGACAAGAAATACTCTCTAGTGGAATCTATACATATGTTGATGTTAGAGATGTTGCATATGCACATGTTCAAGCATTGGAGATTGCTTCAGCTAATGGCAGATATTGTTTAGTCGAGACAGTAACATACTCTTCCGAAACTCGAAAGATATTACACAAGTTTTACCCTGCCCTCAACCTTCTAGAAAAGTAAGTATTTAGTATTTAAAATGTCCTTGGTGCAAGATGGCTGTGCTAATAACTAAAATAATTAAAGTTAACTACATACGTTCAGCTAATGCGCATTATGCTAAATTCTTTATGTTTCATTGGGTTCTCATTCCCCTCTCTCTCTCTTTCTCTTTCTCTCTTTTATGTTATATAAGAAATTTTAAATGTAATTCTTTTCATAAAATTTTATCCCTCTCAATAATATTATAATTAGGGTTAGTCGATGGGGTAAACTCATCCATATTATCCACTGTTGTCACGTTTTTATTGTTTTAACCACATAAACTATGTTAGGTGGATCAAAGAATTCCTTGTGGAAGGAAGTTGTCTGATAACCCATATAATAAAAGTTGCTTAAGAGTTTTAGGTTTAGGACATAACTACTTATTAAAGAATTCCCCTTGCTTTATGACTTTAGGTTATGTAAGGTAAATAAAATGTCCTATAAAATACTGACAAAGGGAAAAGAACTAAGGGACAATAATTATTCAAAACTAGAGGAGGCCACTCAACAATGTATATTAGACCTATAATTAACTAGAGAACAATTATAATCTCCAAACACCATATGATTAAATGAAAGCGGTAAACTCTAAGCTTTTTTTAATTGAATTTCTATTGATATATTGGCAAGGAGTACCATGTAATGTCATACTTAAAATGCATGATTGATTTGTTTGTTTAGGTACAGAAAAAAAAATGAATTTGTGATACTTTTTCTTCTGATTTGCTATTCACATTTCAAAAAATATTTATTGCAATAATTAAAGATATACTGTATGTGTTGTCTTTTGATGTCTACATTATCGCCTTACGAAAGAAATTTTAATTGAATTTAATATTTTTTTTATGGCAGGTGTAAAGATGAAAAACCTGTTATCCCACCATTCCAGGTATCAAAGGAAAGGGCAAAAAGTTTGGGTATTGATTTCCTTCCTCTTGAGGTGAGCCTTAGGGACACTGTGGAAAGCTTGAGGGAGAAGAAATTTCTGAGTTTCTAAACATAATATAGCACCAAGCAATGCAAATGCGTATGACGCTGTATTTTTTAGGGTTTTATGTTGTAAAAGTGGCCAGAATAATTGCAATAATATGCAAGAAGTTTGAATATGTTTTGATTTGTGCTTTTCATTTCTTTGCCTTAATATTGTATCTGTGCAATATCCTTCAAATAACACCTTTTCCCCAAAAAGATTTTAAGATTTTTGCTTTCCCTCTTAATGGTTAAATGCCTCAGATTGCATATTGAATTTTTTATTTTTTTTTTAATACTAACCTACCAATTGTGGCATATTGCTACACTCTTGAAAAAATTGAGTCTGTGAAATTTTTGATCTTTGAGGTAGTAAAATGAATCTTTAAAATAGTTCGAAAGGCAAAGAGCAGTTAGACTTAGACCTAAGGAAAAAAGGAAAAAAAATCAAAAATGGGGGTTGTAGCCCATCTTATAGTGCCAAGCAAGAAATTGGGATAATGAACTAGGCAAGACAGGGGGTCCAATTTCAAGCACCCAAACCATAGTTTTAACTCTAAGGGGAAAGTGACTGCTGGGGCTTTAGCAACAAAGAGTAACCCATGTTGGGTTACCTTATGTGGTTTATATGGAAAGCAAGAAATCGTTGGTGCTATAGGCGCAAAGCAGCATATGCCATTGGTGTAATAAGACAAGCTGAAATGGTGGTTGGGGAGTTGCAGGAGGTGAAGAGGAGAGAAAACACTAACTCCACACCTCAAAATGAACCAGTGATAACAACATGGAGTGCTCTGCCTAGGGGTTCAATTAAGCTTAACTGTGATGGGCCGTTTCTAGCAAAAACTAGGAGGGGGAGCTTTTGCGGTGGGGGCGCGTGATCATACAGGTAGGCTGATTGCGGGACAATCAGGAACAATGAGTGCTGCTTCTGCTCTGACTTCCGAAGCCTGGGCGGTAAAGGTTGCATGTAACTTGGTAGCTGCTGAAGGATGGAATTCAGTGCTAATTGAAAGTGATTCACAAGTACTTCTGAATTCCCTCTGAAAAGGTGCACTGAACCGTTGAAAGAAGTTGAAGCCATCCAAAAGGATATATGACATTTGTGCTGAACAGCTCCATTTGATTCAATTCAGAGCAATTCGGCGATGAGCCAACCAGTTGGCTCATCTGATTGCTTCTCAGGCTAAGAATGGGAGGCTTCCCATAAATTGGGTAACTAATCCAGCAATGCAGGTTACGCAGTTGACCAAGAAGGTAGCTAGGGAGGGCATAAGGAGCAGGTATGCATTCTTCGACCAGAGGTGAGGAAAGTTGTGCTCAAAAATCAATCACCATTGCATGGCAAACAAATTCATCTCGAAAATCAATTCGAAGCTCTACAAGAAGATGACAACTCCGAATCTTGTACTGGTTTACCGGACCAATCCGTTTCTGTGGTGGTCAAATGTCAAATTGCACCAGACCAAACAAACCAACAACCCTTACTTTCATCTTCCAATAACTTAGAGCAGTCACCAAACATCAGTCAAAATTTCTTCCAAAGCCAGATAGAATCAAATGACAACCAAATGGAAGGTAAGAGAGATGAATCGGATATACGAGGATGAAGTGGACAACTTTGTCTCTTACGATGGACAACTTTTTCTCGAGCAAATCAAACTAATCGATGGATGAATATTACACGGAATTGGCCTCGATAAAAGGTTGCAATAACCAAGATGTTACAAGGATATAGAACAAGCAAGCATTTTGGTTTTTTGTTTGCCTAGCCTTGAATTTTGGTTTCAAAGTTCTTTCCTTTCTTTATTATCTGCCTTCTTAGTTTTTGTGTGTTTTGACTAGGTTGAGAGTTATCCTGTAAGGCCTTCGGGCGAGTGTCAAACCTCAGGGGTTGATTTTTCTTTGTACTAACTTTTTCCTTAATCTCAATTTTAATTGGTCAAATAAAAAAATTGAATTATTTATAGTTCTGATTATTTATGTCTTGTCATTATTAATTCGAATACATTGTAACTTGAACTATTTAATTTTCAACGGATTACTTAAAATCGATATTATTTTGAATTTAAAATGACCCGCGTCTAAGAAGTGTTGGAATTAATTTTTAACAATTAAGAGACTAAAGTAAAATCAGAATCACATTTTGAGGGGCAAAGTATAATTAATCCTCAACAAACCAAACTAGAGGAGGCCACATGCATGGAAACAGTTCATTGACACTAGATAAAAGAAAATATAAAATATAAAATATAAAATACTTATTTTCTTCGTACAATAACATATCCAACATTAACTTAATTCTTTTATTAATCATAGACAGGGCGGAGCCACCCTTGGACTAGAGTGGACACGTGCCCCCTCAATTTTTTTTTCCCGATATTAGATATATATTTTTTAAAATAAATTTTAAATATATTTAATCGTCTCCACCTTCAAATTTTTTTTTACGTTACATATATATTTTTTAAAATAAAATTTAGACATATTTAATTGTATTCACCTTATTATTGTGTTATTGTGATATCGATTAAGATAAACGGCTACTTAAATAATAATTAATTTTTAAATAATGTTATTAAAACTAATACATTATGATATTAAATCTAATAGTGAGTCTGTACATTTAATAACGTCTATTATCTATCTAATGGGCACAAATCATTGGGTTCCTACAAATTAAATTTTGAATTTTTTTTTGTCAAGATATAAAATTAAATTACGAATTATATGCAATTATTATTATTCTTAAATTTGTCTGAATAATTTTTGGACATATCGCGGTCATTTTTCTAAATTATAAACTTATTTTGTTATTGTATAGAAATGTGCTCTATTATGTAATAAATTATAGGGTAATAAATGAAAGACTATTATTATCATTTTGTATATAGAAAAAAAGTATTTATTGATATCATTGATTTGTAATTATTTTAAATGATAAACAATAATCATATTCAATTGTGAAATGATAATAATAAGTCTCATACGAAGTTTTAATTAAGTTACTTTTATTTTTTATTTGTTCATTCCATGCAAATCGTTTTTTATCCTTTTATGTTTAATGAATTTTTACGCATAATTATAGTAAATATGAATTCATGAATTTCAGTGATCAATTGAAAAAAAAAATAAAAAATGCTATTTAGATCTAATCTGATGACATAATTCAATGCACCTCTTTGATTGAAAGTAGACTTCATCTAACATTGAAATTTATAATTAAAATAACAGTTACATTAAATTAAGTCTATAAAATTGATAAAAAAAAATTAAAATTTATTATGTGTCCACCCTAAAGTATTTTTCTGGCTCCGCCCTTCATCATGCAAATGGGTTGTTTCACTCTAAAAAATAATATACGTCAGTTATTTACATTTGAATTTGACAATTTGTGCAAAATATTTTAAATTTAAATAACTAAAGGTGTAATGTATTCAAATCAATATGATAATCGATCATTGAAGTTCCACGAAGGTGGTTAGAACACGATATGAATTAGTAAGTTAGGATCAATTAGTCTTCAATACAATCCTAAAAATAATCCGATCAATTAGCAAAAATAAAATATGAGTTGAATTTGTGTCAACCACAAATTCAAATGTGACATAAAAAACCTTGCAGGTTGTACTGTATATAGAAAATACGTGATTCAGTTGTATTAATCAACTTTCTTATTCAAATCTGTCAACTCAAAATAATAAAAGGAAATAAACATAGAGCTACATGAATTTAAAATGTGAATTTAATTAATCTTTGACAATAATGCTAATATCTATTCAATGGTTGTGATTGATTAAATCTACATTTTCAGTCTAAATACCATTTCTCATAAACGTAAGGTTACAGAGTTGTCTACAAGACCGGAAATAAATTGGTATCGTATCAATATTTATCATATTTGTGGATTTTTTTACCACTGTTATGGATATTTTTGTCATTATTGTGATACTGAAGAAAATTAGTAAAAATAATTACCACAAGAGTAATAAAACACTCACAAAAGTAGTAAATTATCCACAAAAATGACAATTTTTTTTGTTATAAAAACGCTTACAATAGTTAAAAAAAAACCCAAAAAAATAATAAATTTTAGAGGTATAGTACCTAATTTTTTTATTCGGTGCCATAATGAGGTGGTTGCACTACATATTAAATGTCAAACCCCACATATTAACAATAAAAAACCCCCACATATTAGAATGTCATTGCTTATGTCACAATGATCCAAAGTCTATATAGGTAAACATGTGCAATAAAATAAAATAAATATTACAAATAGAGATAGAAGAGGTATACTCTTTGAATAGAGAAAGCTCTAGATCATGTTCATTATTCTCGCTCTATAATCAACTCACTATCTGATTTTATCCTCTGTTCTTGCAATGTCCTCCTTTTATATTGAAGGACTAGTTTTTGCTTGTATTTAAAAGAACAGAGTAATAAAAAATAGTAAATAATAAATATATTTATATTTATATCCAAAATTAAATCACAAATATAGAGAAAAGATAAATGAATTTAAGCATCGTTTTATAGTGGGGGTGAGAGGTAATGGTGGTGGTGGGTGGAGGCGGCGACGGTGGTAGAGGTGGGGTGATGGTCGTGGTGGTGGCGATGGCAGTGACAGTGGTGGTGGCGACAGCAATAGTGGTAGTGGCGACAGCGACAACGGTGGTGATGGTGGGGCGGTTTCAAACACTATTTTTTTTTAAGTATTTAGGAGAAATAATTTGTAGAATTACTTTTAAAAGTAATCTCAAACACACTTTTAAAGACCTATTTTTCCTATTAAATTTAGAGTATTGATATTAACTATTAAATTAACTTTAAAGTAAAATTTAAAGTTATCTTCATCGCAAATAATAAAAATCATTTTATTTATCTTTTTGAGATTTGAATTAACTATTTTACTATATAGATGATAAATCGATGCAATACTCAACAAATATTTCATACAACATCATCATGATAGTTTTTGAGTGGAGTTAAGTAAAAATTGGCTATTTAAAACATCATCTTATTATGTCC